GCCTGTAGTTCCCGCTACTTGGAAGGCTGAGGCGGAAGGATCGCTGGAACCCCACAGGTCAAGGCTGCGGTGGCCGGGAGCAGCCACTGCACTCCAGTCTGGGCAACAGAGTGAGACTCCAACTCAAAAAAAAAAATTTTTTTTATTTTTCAAATTGTGGGGTACAGTTCAGGGTTGGTTATACAAACATTCACTGTGTAGGTACCCCTGTTGATGAGGTGTGGGCCCCCCCAGTCAGATTTCAACTACTGTCATTCCCACCTCCCCACCTCCCCTCCCCACCACAGTTTCCAGCTACTGTCAATCTTTTTCTTATAGTATTATGGTAGTTGTTCATGGTCCACTTATGAGTGAGAACATGAGAACACATTATCTTTGATGGAAATGGGAAATTAGTAGTGGCCATAGCTTAATAATTGTTGCCAAGGAATAGTTACATTTGAGTGATGTTCAGTAAAGAGAGGAAACAGCATGCAAAACACTAAGTTCAATTAGACAAACCCAGCATTGGGGATAGTTGTTGTTGTTGTTTAGGGAATATAAGTTGATTGCATAAGAAGGAAAAAAAACAGATGATATGAAATAGTTAAGTGAATATGATGGATCTGCCACATGCTATCCACTCTTATGTGTGGAATAAAATGATTAGATTTAAGTTTTAGTTTTTCTAACATGATTCATTGGCTTCCATATTATTATAGTTTACCTCTTTGAAGTGTTTCTTAATAGAACTAGCCCTGATAAGCCAGGGATTTATGCAGATTCACATGGAGAATAGTAATTATTCTCCACAAATGACTCCACAAACGTGTTGCTTGCCTGTCTTTCTCAAAAACCACAATAGTAATTCTAATAATTTGTTCCTTGTATTTGGATGTGAGAAACATCCTATGTGCATGTGCACAGTGAGAGAAGCCTGCCTTCCTGCTTTCTATAATATTAGACCAGATCCTATGCATGAGTGACCTTCAGACCATAATATTCAAGTTCTGCTGCTTGGTTAGTCTTTTGGGCTTTGTGGTTGACAAGGATAAGTTTATTTAAAAATCAGAATGAGACAGGCAAAGTGAGAAACTAGAAAGGTAAAATGGGGGAAATGGCTTTTTCCCCCCTAAAAGTTATCTTAGTCTCTGCTCAGGAACATTGTCATGCCCAGGACTTTTAGAAAATTTTTATTTCTCAAGCCAATTAGAAGAGTTCAAAGTATAAACATAGGAATAGTTAAAAATCAAGATTTTGCCGGGTGCAGTGGCTCACGCCTATAATCCTAGCACTTTGGGAGGCCGAGGTAAAAAAATTGCCTGAGCTTACGAGTTCGAGCACAGCCTGGACAACTTGGCAAGACCTCATCTCTATAATAAGTCAAAAAATTAGCTGACGCCGGACTTGGTGGCTCAACCTGTAATCCCAGCATTTGAGAGACCGAGGCGAGTGGATTGCCTGAGCCTGTGAGTTCAAGACCAGCCCGGGCAACTTGGCGAGACCTCGTCTCTACAATAAGTCAAAAAAAAAAAAAAAAAAAATTAGCTGGGCATGGTAGCACGTACCAGTAATTCCAGCTACTTGGAAGGCTGAGGCTGAAGGATTGTTGGAGCCCAGCAGGTCGACACTAGGGTGGCAGTGAGCATGCCACTGCACTCCAGTCTGGGTGACGGAGTAAGACTCCAACTCAAAAAAAAAATTAGCCAGGCATGGTGGCATGTGCCTGTAGTTCCAGCTACTTGGAAGGCTGAAGTGGAAGGAGCACCTGAACCCAGCAGGTAGAGGCTGCAGTGGCCGTAAGCAACATGCCACTGCACTCCAACCTGAGTTACAGAGTGAGATTCTGACTCAAAAAAAAAAAATCAAGATTTTACCATTTGGTGAAATGCTTTACTTCTAAAAGCATGAGAAAACAATAGTTTGGCTGGGTTACTGGGTAAGAAGGAAGATACAGATAGCAATGATCAGTTATGTCATTGTGGTAACATACAGGAAAAGGATTGAATCCTTACTTTGAAAATATCGTAGGCTTTTCTTTGAAAGAGCAGCTTTTTTCAGCTTCAACCTGGCAGCTCTTCAAATAAAATCACAAAGGAACAAGACACTATAAACAACCCTCCCATCCCTAAAACAGGACTGCATAGACAAGCAGACGCTTATGGCCAAGGCTGTGAAGGCAGCAGGAAGGGCAGCTCCTTAGGCACCAAGAGCCACAGAGAGCAAACAGGGCGACAGGTAGAATAACACTGGCAGTAGTCCTCAAATGGTGGTATGTTGGCAAGACAAACAGTATGCACAGGACAGACCTACTTTAAGCCTCCTATTTCAGAGGGAATTTAGCATCTACTGGAGCTAAGTGTATCCTGTGTGCAGACAGGACTCTTGCCAGTTATGGAGTGGGGCGGGGGACCCTTGTCTTCACAAAATACAAGCAAATGCTGTGACCATCGCTGCTTCTCTTTCATCTCGAACACTGTGATCCCGTCTCTCATTTCTTTTTCCTTCATCTTCAGCCCTCCTCTGTGAGATGACATGTAGGATTCTTTTTGTTCTCTAACTGCTAGCTTATTTTTTTGGTATGATTGTGTCTTGGCTGAACTATGGCCGTTTTCCTCATTTGAATGGAGTAATTGCTGAAAAACCTGAGGAAAGAGACTTGGATCTAAATTCTGCCTCAGATGTCAGATTACACATTGAGGACACCAAACCCCCTCCTACTGGGTTACAGGGGAAATGAAAAAGAACCCAGATCACTCTTTAGGGCTGGTGAACTAGTTAACTTTGGAAGAGGCCATTTCCCTCTCTGTGGAGAAGCCCTGGTGGGAGGAAGCAGTGGAAGAGGGGGTTCTAAAGGAGCAGATGCCGTGGTGTCTGATTGCTGACTCTGTTTCTGTTCAGCTGTGTTGGTCTTCAGCATTTTAGTGAACCCTCTCAAGGTGAAAATAACAAAACTCAGACTAAGTCCAGCTAAGCTTCTCTAGTTTCTGGAACCTTACTCTAGTTTCTGGAACCCTTTCCTCCTAAAAAATAGAATAGTCGTATATAATATGATACTTGCTTATGTCATGGTTTTTTTTTTTTTTTTTTTTTTTTACTTCACTCTAATGATTTCAGAGGTAATACCTTTTGTTAGACACTTAGGGGAGATCCATCTCCATGGCTTCCCTGTGCTGCTTTGTCCTTATCTGCCAGATTCCTTTCACCTCCCTCTTTAGTCCTTATTGCCCATTATGATATATAGGCTATTTGCCCCTCTGGAAGGTTTGGCTTATAGTAACTGGCAGGCCATCTGCCTATTCACTTTATCCCTTGGATTGACGGGTTTAGTCTTAGAACATGGCTGACATTGTGTAACATTATGTAGAATGCCAGAGGAATCAATCACTTCCTTCATGCTGATTTTCTCTCACTAGAGAACATAGTTTACAGCCGAGAAATCTGTGTTTTCTGGGCAGATTCTACTGCATTCGTAGCTGCCTTCACAAACCTAGAGGCATCCCGCAGGGCAGAGTTAGACTGAAAACCTAGATTTGAGAAATATGCGATTCTAATAGTGTCATTACTGTCATTTAAATTCATTATCACTATTTAAGCAACTGAGCTCCAATTATCTGTTGGGCATCACACTAGGCAGATAATTAGTTACAGTCTAAGTCCTCTGGGCCTGCTGGGCCTCTTGCTTAGCATCAGAGCTGCAGGCAGAACAGTGTCTTTCTTCAGACCCAGCGTCCCCCTACCTCAGAACTCTGCCTCATGGTGAGTGCGGTTTCTCTGCAGCTACCTAGGCATTTTCATCTATAGGCCCTTTCTCTGGTCTAGACCATGCTCCGGTGTGTTCCTGGCAGTGTTCCCTGCTGCCTATCCAGTTGCCTACTGTTGGGCAGTAGCTCACTGCTCTGGCATTCTGGTGTGTAAATATTTGTCAAAGAATGGGGGCATTTTCCCATTCCCCAAAAAGCATTCTGAAAAATGTGCCTGTTTTTTTAGTCATATTTCCAAACTGTGGATCAGTTAGCCCATTCATTCCTTGCAGTTGACAGACACTGGCCTGGCCTCAGCTGGCCACAAAAAGTAAGTATGCAGTAACTTCCGGCACAATAACTTTCAAGTTTTAGTAGCAAGAAGTCCTGGACCTAATGGAACCATAGACAACATAGCCACTATTAGAGTAGACATTGTTTCATTAACAGAAAGCATCACATGTCTCCCCTCTCGGGCATTTTAATTTCCTTCACCCAGGAGTGTGTGGAATCAGCAAAGATGTGAAAGCTAACCACATAGATTCTAGGGAATAACTTTACTTTTCATGTTTGTGACTACTTTTAGGTCTTATATATAAGGTAGGTTTGTATACATCATCCATGTCTGCCTATACAAAGGTGACGTTGCTGAGCTACTCTCAGTTTACAAGTGTTTTTCCAGTACAGTTGATGATGTGTCCTGTCACTTAGCTCTACTTGAGACCTAAAGAATTTCCCTCTGCAAGATGACTTATGAGGCTAAAAAGGTAGTCTTTAACCATAGTGCAGAGTTTTCTATCTTTTTGTAAAACCAGGTGACATATAAGATTTAACTCTTGATCTTAGCTTGATTAACTCTAGACTTTAAGCTCAAGTCTGTTTAAATTGCATACACATTCCTGATAGATTAACTTCTAATGTGCCTCATTAAACTACTTGCACTCCTCCTTTTCCTTTTCTGTAAGCCTCACCTAATACCCCTTTCTCCTCCTCCAGTCTTTTGACCTAACCCTCAGTCTTCTACAAGTCTGGCCAGCATCTGCCCATTTGAATGCCCAACCCGCTAATATATATACCAGATTTTTCTCTTTTCACTGTTTATAACCACCTCGACCCTCTCCTTTCTAGTCAGAATTTGAATTAGGACTTTTTAAAAAGAGATGGTTGAGTGTTAAAGTCTTAAGTGATTAGGAAACAATAACATGCTATTCAATACAGCAGCTGCAGCTATTTTGAAAGGTCTGAGTGTATTCTAATATATATTATTTCTTCTCACAGATCATCAATTTCTATATGAACATGCTGATGGAGCGAAGTAAAGAGAAAGGATTGCCAAGTGTGCATGCATTTAATACCTTTTTCTTCACTAAGTTAAAAACGGCTGGTTATCAGGCAGTGAAACGTTGGACAAAGAAAGTAGATGTATTTTCTGTTGACATTCTTTTGGTGCCCATTCACCTGGGAGTACACTGGTGTCTAGCTGTGAGTACCTCTTGTGGTTTTGATTAAATAAATCTGTATAATTATAGAACACACAGAGGGCAGTCAGTAGTAGTTCTACATCTTTACATCTTCACTTGATTATTGAAGGAAAGAAGAGTGTTTAGTAGTAGGTTGATGAAAAATCAGATAGATCAATGAACTTCCTATTAAGAGTGGGAGATACTTAGATTTTGAAGAAAGCTGTGAAATTTCCCTTTCTGGAAATATCTAAAAGGGAGTTGTAAGGTGTCCAGGCAACCTCAAAGTAAGGCGTAGGAAGAAAAAGTGACTTCTTAATAATGCTGCCAGCTCAGACTCTGTTAATGTTATTTTCAGCCTTATCATGACTTGTCTTGCATACTTGGTAATGTAATATTTTTTATGACCCTGAGAGCATGGATGCATTTCCTTAATATGTTAATAAAAGTCTAAAACTTATCTCATGGTCTGTTGTGAATTACATTTGAAAAGCATAAAGCCAAAAGAAAATTATTGAGGTAAAGAAACAAAACTCAGGATCTTTTCTAAAACTGTGTGGAAGTGATTTTGATATACTCAGCTTACTTCCTCTGAAGAACATGTTGTTTCTTCACTGTTGCCCAACTTCATAGGGAGAACCTGAACATTAGAAAAAGGTTAAAGGGCAGTAATGGGGCCACCAGTTGATCAGCCCCCCTTATGGTTTTATGTAAATAACCCCTTATTATTCTTTCCTCTGCAGATTAAGCATAACAAAATGCTTAATATGTTAATATTAAGTATCAATCAAACTTGTTATGATTTCACAGGAAGTCTAGCAAAAGGTTCCAAGGACCAGGAAAGGGATAAGCTGAGAAACCAATATTTTTCACTTTATAAACACACAGATTTTTTTTTCTTATTCTCAGGTTGTGGACTTTAGAAAGAAGAATATTACCTATTATGACTCTATGGGTGGGATAAACAATGAAGCCTGCAGGATCCTCTTGTAAGTAGGGAGTTGAGGACAGAGAATTTGGTGTTGGGTATGTGTTGTGTTTTTCTAACAATTAAACTCAATTGTTTGATACCTTCAATGGAATGATTAATAAAATGTTTATATTAAGTAAGAATGACTATTTTACTTCCAAGTTAGTTAAGTTTAAACATAATATGATAATACCAAAAATATGCCTTAATGGGAGCAATTACTGTCCTAATGCACTGAAATATAAAACGAGTACAGATGAAAGATATCAACACTACTTAGAAATCATTTAATCTAAAAAAAAAAAAAAGCATTTAATCCAACCTTCTAATTTTTCAGATGAAGAAACCAAGGCCTGCAGAGGTGACTTTGATTTGCCTGGGTCCTTCTAGTTAGCAGCTCAACTGGGAACCAGAATGCAGATCTCTTTATACCCCATCTATTTACATTTCCAAAACACCTATTCCTCACTGTACCACTCTGATAGCTAGGTTCCAGAATAGTAAACAGATTGCACTTTTTAAAAGCGCTCTATAAAAGATAGGCACTCAATAAATTGTTAAATTGGATTGAATTTTCACACAGGAAAACCAAGCCTAACAATAGTAAATAAATACTTTGATATTGCTAGAGAAACATTTTTCACGTATTAGATTGAGTTCTAAAGGACCATATAAACTAAGGGAAAGAATAAAAAATTGTTCCTCAGGAGGAATGGTAGGTAGAAGGAGCTTAACTATCAAAGGTAGAAGTCATATTCCTCCTGGGCTGACAGAGTGGGTACTAATTGTGAAAGACGAAAGAGGCAAGCTCAGCTCCGGAGGAAACTTAGTGACAGTCTAAGTATTCCCTGCCCAGCATTATATGAGGGGTACACAAAAAAAAGTGAAATTATTTTTTGCAGGGCGAGCCTCTTGTAGTACAGACTTGCCCTGCTAGGTAAGTGTTTTAGAAACTCATCACATCAGTGTACAAGCTAACATTGCTGTGAGAGGCTGCATTCGGCTTCAGTGATTCTTTCAATACGTTTGCCCATTTCATAATGGATGATTTACGAACACACCTGCCCACACCACACTGAGTGTTCAGCAGTTTTTGACCAAAGACAGCACGACCCCCATGCCCCACCTTCTTATTCATCTGCTGTTACCCCAAGCTACATTTTTTTGTTTCCCTGATGAAAAAAGTCCACAAAGGAAAACGTTTTGCCAGTGTGGAAAAGGTGAAACAAAAAAAATGGCAGAAGCACTAAAAGGCATCAAATTCAACGAGTTCAGCCAGGTATGGTGGCTCACGCCTGTAATCCCAGTACTTTGGGAGGCAGAGATAAGAGGATTGCCTGAGCCCACGAGTTTGAGACCAGCCTGGGCAAATTGGCATGACCTCATTTCTACAATAAATTTAAAAACTAGCTGGGCGTGGTGGCGCATGCCTGTAGTTCCAGCTACTTGGAAGGCTGAGGCAGAAGAATCACCTGAGCCCAGCAGATCGAGGCTGCGGTGGCCATGAGCAGCGTGCCACTGCACTCCAGCCTGGGCAACAGAGTGAGACTCCAACTTCAAAAAAAAAAATCTGTGAATTCAAAAACTTTTGAACAGTGGGAAATGTGTCTCAGTAGGTGTGTTGCATCAGAGGATACTTTAAAAGTGACTGGAGTTTAAACATATAAGAGTACATACACAATTTTTTATTTTTTTGTGTTGGAGTCTCACTCTGTTGCCCAGACTGGAGTGCAATGGCATGCCCCCAGCCACCACAGCCTCACCCTGCTGGGCTCTGGTGATCCTTCCGCCTCAGCCTTCCAAGTAGCTGGAACTGCAGGCGCACACTACATGCCCGGCTAGTTGGGTTTTTTTTTGATTTTTTGTAGAGATGAGGTCTCGCCGAGTTGCCCAGGCGGGTCTCGAACCTGCAGGCTCAGGCAATTCACTCACCTCGGCCTCCCA